CGGGCCGTCGGCACCTTGTCTGGTTAGGGAATCAATCTCTTCGTTTTCAACTATCTGGGCGTGACCGGGCACCCAGGCGATAAAAACACGCTTGTTGTCCTGCCCGAGGTAAGCAATTTGCGCATTATTTCTTCAACGATTTTGTGCTGCTAACTTGCTTGCTGCAAGGTCACCAGAGAGCTTACACCGATTCGTTACAGTAGTGCACTAAACGTAGAGCCTCACGGATGGCGAACAACTCTGCAGTAAAAATGGAACAATGTTTAGACAAGGTAAAACTTCGTCTGTTCTCTGACACGGGTCCACATCCTACACCCGCGCTGTTTTTTTTTTTTAGCCATCGGCATGTATGTGACGGAACCCCCGATAAAAAAACGTATAAAGACGACACAGAAACTCCGCGCGGTGTTCGACTGCCGTTGTATATTTCTTTGATGACCCACAAAGATGGCAGTCACATTCGGGTGCTCGAAGTTGCCATGGTGGAAGGCCCTGCCCTGGACCGGAAGCAAACCTGTGAACCGGGATGCCTAATCGCTCAAATATCTGGTTGGTACGTATGGTGATGGGCAGTGCAGTCTTTACATGTGAAGAAGTGAAAAGGCTGACAACACGTGGTGAAAGAACACTCGAGTATGTGGGGATGGGATAGAAATTGTGCGATTTTTGCCACATATCGTGCGGACAGTAGCTCCCGTCTTAAGTGCAAAGGGAGTTTATTTGCATTGACGAATATGCTGTGCACAGGGCTGGTACGGAAGCCTCCCGCTGCCGTTTGGATCCCGTCGTGGTGCATTCTGTTCAAAGGTTTCTTCGCCGATCGTGAGGCCGAGTCATACACCTGGCAGGCACAGTCAATCTTAGATCGGGTAATTGACCTGTGAAGTAATACAAGTATTTTGCGGTCATCCCCATAGGACATCCGGGTGAAAATCTTTAAAACATCGAATGCCTTCAAGCAGTGATGCCGAAAGTTTTTGATGTGTGGGCGGTATGATAGCCTGCTAATTCGAATATGACGCCAAGGAACTTAGCTTCCTGTCTAACTGGTATTCTTCCCCATATAGCACAAGACGAAGGTCGGGGCAATGATCACGTTTTCTAAAAAAAAAAGAACATCCACAGTCTTGACGACAAAAGTTGAAGTCCATTGAGAGCACTACATCTTTCCAAGTTCCTAATGCCAAGTTGTAGTTGGAGTTCGGAAGCTGTGTTAGTTTGTGCGCTGGCCCAAATGGCAAAGTCGTCGACAAAAAGCCATCTCCCTACCTGTGGAGGAGGGGTTTCAGCTATGTTATTAACCATGCTGGCAAAGAGCACAATGCTGAGAAAGCTGCCCTGCGGAACGTCATTTTCTTGCGAGTATAGAGCGGACAGAGCCGTGCCCACACGGACTCTGAAGGGTTTATTCCGAAGAAAGCTCAACAGGAACATAACCATGTCCTTAAATATCGTATTTGTAGAGCTTCATTAGGATACCGTGCTTTCAAATCGTGTCATAAACCTTCTCGATGCCGTAAAACACAGCTAAAAGATGTCGCCGTTGCTGGAAAGCTTCCCGTTCTGACACATCTTTCATTGACACATTCCATTTCATTGACACACGTTCACCAGATGATATAAGGTACAACTATTCTTCCTGAAGCCATGCTGGGCGTTGGAAAGAAAAGGATGCTTCTCTACGTACCAAATTAGACGAGCATTTCAAGCAGTTTGCATGTACAAGATATTAAAGCCATTGGACGATAGTCCAGAGGACCTTTCCACTTTTTTCCTGGCTTCAAGATGGATATGACGATTGCTTCCTGCCATGAATCAGGAAAATCGTCGTTTGTCCACGGGAAATTGAATATATTACGAAGCGACCTTGCACTGTTCAGTGGTACATGTCGGAACCTCAAGTTGTGAATACAGACAGTCTTCTGAAACAATCTATAAAGGATGACATGGCATGATGCATTTCGGGCAGCGTACCTAATGCATTCTAAGAATAAGTCTCTCTAGGCGAGAAGCTCAAACCAAATGATTCAACTGTGTCTCAAGTCGGGAAAATACTGGATCGCGAAGACCATATCGGGATCGTTCCGAGAAAGCTCTAGTAATTGCGTTCGCCACCACGATCGAGTCTACAACTTCCACACCACCAGTGGTCAATGTTGAAAGAGGTATGGATGAAACCTGCCCAGTGATGCGCTGGACTCGCGACCAAACTTGTTTAACTGCAGTAAACCTGTTTACTTTGGAAACATATTATCTCCAAGATGCTTGTTTTGCACTCAGGACAACACGCTTAGCAATGGCCGTGGAAGTTCGTAGGCTGCCATGCTTTGTGTGGTTGGATGTTTACTAACCTTTCGAAATGCGTTCTTTCTGCCTGTTACAGCATCGTTGCATTGCGGTGACCATCATGGGACAGGTGTGCTACACGGATGGCTGGATATGCGACACAAACAGCTATCAGTCAGTGTAACCAAGGTAGTAGTGAAAGTGTGGTTTGCTGACGATGCGCTGTCCCCGCTGATCAGGAGCAATGCATATCTCACATGTCCGAGCAAAAATCTCCCAGTCTGCGTACTGCGTACTCCATCGCCGGGACAGGACTCTAAGCTGCGCGTCTATACCCAGCGTATACCCAATCGGGAAATGGTCGCTAACATGTTTCGGCGGCGGGACCGCGTCGACTCTTCGGTGCATGCCTTCCCTGTCGGTTTTTTGGGTGAGCTGCAGAGGTTTCCCCAGCTACCAGTCGGCCAGGAGCCCGTGAGGTCGTCCCGTAGGGTGGCGAGGGGACATGCACTGCCACCCCCGATGGCGGCAGAAGGAAGGTGGCCCGGATGATGCGGGCTCCAGTGGAGCGTACAACGGCCGCTGTGGGGACGGGCGCGCTGGACTAGACTCCAGTCCGCTCCTCCCGGTCTAGCTCCCGGCTCCGGACGCTCTGACACCGCTCTGGGACCCCCAGCGCTCCGGGGCTGGTCCCAGGGGACCTCAATCGCCGTCGGCGCGCCCATTGGTGGAGGGGCCGCGCTACCAGGCGCGGTGGAGACCGCACTTGTCATATCGAGACATGTGGGGGGGGGGGGGGGGGGACACACCTTGGGAGCGGAACAGCTGTGTAAGGAGGGTGACAAAGTCCGCAACAGTCACGTTTTGGAACGCGCTCATTTTTGTATTAGCCGACAGGCCAGCAGCTGCCGGTGTCACCACGGGATGGGTCCCTGGCTAGTCTGCGGCCGCGTCCCGGTAAGGGCGGAATGGGTGGTTTTCATTGCGTTTCTTCTCAACCTCATGGTAAGTTGGCCCACTCTGAACTCTGATGGTTGGAATCTACTTTTTCCTTTTTGAAGGTCTCACACGTGTGAAGCCTTGCTGGGTGACCTCCTCCACGGCTGGGACATTTCGTAGAACGTGACTCGCCATTTTCTTGCGTCACGCCCGACTTCTGCACATTTCCCGCATGTCGTCTGTTTCCGACATTTGTCGGTGAAGTGCCCAAGCGAATGACACTTTAGCACCGCACCGGATCTAGCACGTAGAAACGGACCGGTAAGGAGGAAATCCTGATTCGCACCCTCTCTCATTGCGGACAACAGTCAAAAGTGAGGATAACAGCGCCCGTTGGCACCAGCTTCACCACCTACCCTTTTCACAATGTGTTTAGCGTTCTGCACTGAGTTTTTACTAGGATGCGGTTTAACCTCAATATCCATGGACCGCACACCCCGTTCAGGAACCCGGGAATTAAGGTCGTTGCCGCTTAGCATCCTCCTGATCTCCTCGTCCTTCGAAAACTCGACTTCCAGACCTCCATCTCGGTACCCAAGCACGTTTTTGGGATCCTCAAACTTTGGCAGAGCTTACTCAATCTGGAAGGGGTTGATGTTTAACGGCAGAGGCCTTTCCTCACTGTCAACTTTCGATGACCAAATGATGATATACTTCGGCAAACGTTCGATTGGTCGATCTGACTGGTCCCCAGAGTGGGGAGCACTCCCGGGGCCCAAGGTTACACTCTGGGTCTGGTTGGCAGGGCTCTTTCAGCCCGTCTTCCCGCAGAAGTGGCGTAGTGGTCAGGTTCCTTGAGGATTTATCCATGGGTAGTTGCATATTATTTCGACGCGCCTGTTCCCCGCCCGCCATCGAGCCCAACAAGGGGACAGCGCAGCGGTATCTGCCGTGCCGCCAGGGCTACAGACGCGTCATACGCGGGCCGGAGCGCCATAAGTGGCGCTGCGGAGCCTCCGGGTACCGCGGGAGCCGGTGCTCCGGCTCACGAAGGGCTGACCAGGCACCAACTCGAAATGAACCGGAGCACTAGCCCACAGCTGAGACTCAGGTAGACACTGCATTCTACGGTTTCCCCTCGACATTCGTCGCCTAACACGCTTGGCTCATTGCCAGTGTCGTACAAGGGCGGCGTCTGACAAGTCAGTTACCCGCGTGCGAAGTCAACACGGGGCACCCACAGGTTGGCAAATCCAGGCCAAAGGTGAATTGGCGGACGCCAAGACTGACCCGCAAGGCGGCCACCCAGTACTCAGGACCCCTAACAAAACTGAAAGCTGAGGCCGAGAGGTTGCTTATCCCTATCCTGACCGGAGTCAGGGCCCATGCGGGAGGCACGCTCATTCTGGTTTCTCCGCTTTGGCCGGAAGAGGCGCTTTACAAGCCTCCCCAACCGCCCGCGGGATCATTGGAGCACGCAATCTCCCCACCACGGAAAGGTGGTGCCTCACTGGGGTAGGCTAATACGATCATTGCAGGTAGGTGGGCCGTGTATTCTATGACGTCCTCTGCAAACAGTCGACCCGCAAGGGAGATGTTTGCATCCAGGCGGACAAGTTTCGCAACTCACATGTGGCAATATCATTTTGCAACGAAGACCGTGCCCCACCGATATCTCTTTGCACCCAGAAACACGCGATTCGGGTTTACACAGGGTTTATTTGGCTGGACGCCCGCCCAGCAGCATGTGAAAAGCAAGCCGGTGGAATTAACAGTCGTCAAAGGCAGGGTCGGTGCCAGCAACAAATCACGGAACGCCGGCCCACAATCATAGAAAAATAACCCCCACGTCTTCTACCAAGCGCTGTCGGCACAACAGAACGTGGAATATCTCGAAGATTCGGGGATGGCCGGCCGGCTCGCCTGCCGACCGCCGCTGTGATGACTGGATTTATGCTGAACATCTGACTAAAACATAACGCGCACGCCAGTAAAGCTCTCACGGATTATCCCACTCACGCCGCACGCCGTCGCCTCTCACGCCCGCGGCACGACAGCCGCGCGACACGGGCGCACGCTCTACATTTCACGCAGAAGTCACGGTTAGTCGCCGGCTCGCCGGAGCCGGCATCACGTTAGCGACGCCTCGTCCGCCAATCACGCCTCGCCAGCGGCGCATGCGCCAATAACGCGCCGAAGTCGGCGGCGCACGCGTTAACAACGCGGCGGCAGCGGCGCTCAGAGCGTCGGCAGCGGCGCTCAGAGCGGCGGCAGCGCCCAGAGCGTGCACGTCTTGTCGGCGCCCGTCGAGAGGAAGCTGAACTCATTGGGGTGCCAGCGGCCGGTGATGACCTTGTCCTGGTGCTCAGCCACGATCACGGATGGCAGTGGCGTAGTCAGGTCACCTGCAGCCGGGGGAGCGGGCGGGTCAGGGGCGACAGCGGCGCGGCAGTGTGACAGTGCCGCGTTGAAAGCGAAAGCAGCCATACATTCAATATTATTCAGCGACAGGAACGCATTCATAATGCATAACTGATTCATCGCTTATACCAAGGAATGCACACCACACCGTCTCAACACACATTCCACCAAAGAAATAATTTGCTTAATGGTTAATGGGCGCAAAAACCATGCACGTAAAAAACATGTCTCAGTCGCTCGTTTTTTTCGCTGCGGCTGTTACCTCCAACACAGCACGATTCACACCTGTTCTGCCCGTTTTCTCTCGCTAAACACCACACCGGATATACGCCGCCTAGAATCGGCCACCATCAGTACCCGTCTCCTTTCCCTTGCCCCCTTCCCCGCCCCCCCCCCCCCCTGTGTCGCCCCAGCCGGCGTACCCTGCAGATCGGTGAGCACGGTGCGGTTGTCGTAGCCGCCTGTCAGCAGGTAGTACGCGCTGGGCGAGAAGCGCACGCTCCTGATGTCTGACTCGTGCGGCTTGAAGCTCTGGATGTTGCGCGCGCCGCGGATGTCGTACAGGTTGCACGAGGCGTCCTCGTGACCAGAGACGAGCAGCCGTCCAGACGGGTCCACCGCCACAGAGGCCACGGCCGAGCCCTTGGAGCCGGCGTGCACGCTCGGAGGATGGAACATGTTGACGCAGCCACGCGAGCGCAGGTCCCAGAAGCGCACCGTCCGGTCCTGGCTGCCCGAGACGAACATAGCGCCGCCCCACGTGTACAGCGACAGGATGTGCCCTGCGGGGAGGCGGAGGGATGAGTCAGGCGCGGGGTCACGCGCTGGGCGACGGGGTGGCGAGAACGGGGCACAAGTCATCGGGAAGAAACGGGTCACGAGAGGAGAAGACGGCCGGCACGGAGTCTTAGTATTCAGCGTTGAACTAAATGATAGACACCGTAGTCGGACTCCAGCAGCTTGAGGGCTATGGATGCGCACAAACATAAGCAAAGCGTCATCAAATGCAACAGGGTGGGTGGCGCAAGACAAAATAGAGCTTTTACAGTTTTTGTAATGATTCTCGACAGTTTTAAGCAGTTTGAGTCCGACACAAGGAGAAAAGTCCCAGCAATGCGCACAAACACGGCGGCATGTTTCCAACGGGCGACATGCTCAGTGAACTGGGCAACCCGTTCGCTTCTGGTATGTCGTCAGTTGTGACGGCCAGATTGCCCGCCATGCATGTGCGGACAAATGACGTGTTCTCATTGAAGACAGGTGTCGGACACCCAACATGTGGCCAGCTTAACTAAACTAGGCACATATAACTGCTACAGCCGGGGGAGACAGAAGAGCGCCCTGCGCAAGGCGAGACCAAATGCCAGAATCTAGCAGCCAACACCGTGCAGGCGCGCTGGTGACCTATGTCACGCTGTAATCGGCGGTCACCAGCGGCTGTTGTCTGTAGCCGGGCCGCGACTGATGCGGCGGACCGCTGCGCCAAAGTCGCCCCTGCCCTCCCCCATGACGGCTGGTGGACGAGAGCGACCACCGGCGCCCCGATGTGCAGTCCGGGGACAGACTGGCGCACTGGCGCGCCGGAGCCATGTCACCACCTCCGCTGGGGAGGCGCGTGAGGGCTGGTTTGGACCGGGGCAGGCGTGGGGGCGCACCAGAGCCATGTCACCACCTCCGCTGGGGCGGCGCGTGAGGGCTGGTTTGGACCGGGGCAGGCGTGGGGGCGCACCGGAGCCATGTCACCTCCTCCGCTGGGGCGGCGCGTGAGTACTGGTTTGGATCGGGGCAGGCGTAGGCGCGCAACAGAGCCACGTCACCACCTCCGCTGGGGCGGCGCGTGAGGGCTGGTTTAGACCGGGACAGGCGTGGGCGCGCAACAGAGCCATACTACATTACCCACCGTCGCCGATGTGGCTCTGAAATTGGGTGCACCGACCGGTTTGCCTAACGTACAATACCGAATAGAGTATACCGATTGGACCGACAATGCGGCGTCGCCGTGGTGATATCATTGTCTGCCCGGTCGTCTCTCAAGCCAGCTCTGAGCCACTTTCGGACCAAACCGGCTGCCCGTAACGGGCAGCTTTCTCTGTCCGGTAACATCCAAACGCACAATGGTCTCGGATGCCACAATGGTCTCGGATAGCTCGCCTGCTGGCGGCCCCCGAGAGAGACCCATTCATGACACGGAGACTGCCACTAGGAGAGGAAAGTACCGCCCTGCCGCGATCTGATTTGTCCTGAATGATGGCAAAAAAGAACAGATCCCCGAGTCAAGCATGACACTTGCATGCGGCAATCAGAACCCGTGCGCACGTACAACCATGAAGTGAGACATTCCATTCAACAATCAGTGATGACTGGAAACGGCCTCCTCCTCAACAGGCCGAGCTACTGTGTGTAGCCCGGCGACACACGAACTTCCGTTTATGGCTAACGTGCCCAGATTCGGCACAGCTGGCCGCTGGCTATCATCTGTCCCACAACGGTGTGAGTTATGGACAACTACTGACGCGAGTTAGCGGAAGGGTTATACACGGCTACGGACCCAAGTCACTACAGCTTCTGACCCGAATAACCACTGAGCCGTGGACATCTGTTGAATCATGGCCGCAGAGTTATGGACAGGTCCTGACCCGAATGACCGCTGAGCTATTTGACAACCACTGACACAAATGGCTGCTGAGTGATAAAGTAACAGATGGCCAAAACGATCACACACTTACGAACAGCAATTGACCAAGTGACCACTAAGCTATGACCATCGTTGAGCCCTAAGTCAGGGCTGACCGCTGAGTTATGAACGACTACTGACCCGAGTGACCGCTAAGCGCCTGGAACGGTGTGCCGGTGACGCAGTCGGTGACGTAGATCTTGCAGTCGCCGGCGCCGCCGCTGATGAGTAGGCTCGACTTGTTGGACATGTCCTCGATGAAGCACAGGTCTCGCACTGTGCCGTCGTGCATCGTCAGGTCGATCTCCTGACCTGCCAAAGCCGAGGAGTCGCGGGTAAGCACGGCGAACTCGGGTCCTGAACGTTCGCGTTCGATACTCACCGACGGCTGCAATTTCAACATACAACGGCTCTCCATGAGTCAGGGCAAGTGTAGCCCCGAACAAGACTCCTATATTTTCGCAAGCTATATCTATGCCTTTTAATGGCAATTTTCTTCAGATGCCGAGCGGAATGGCCCGTGGAATCCCCATGGGGCATATCAACCCAAACAAGGCTTGTCGGAGCCTCCTGAATCACGAAGGGCGACAATCGCATCACTATCGCCGCTCGCGTGCCACATTCCTCCGCCGCGCCGCCGGTTACGGCAAGCCTGGCAGCGGGTCGGAAAAGCGCCCCAATCACCGGGCAGCATCAGCCACCGGCCTTAAAAGGCGGCGCGGCCAGCGCTGGCGGGGGCACGGTGACACCCATTCCGTGACAGACCGGTGCACCGCCGCGCCGCCGCGGTGGCGTGGCGCGGCGCGGCACGGGAAGCTCCGCGGCTGGCGAACGGGGTCGGCTGGTGGGGCTGGCGGATGGTCCGCGTCGGTGGTCTGGTCGCACGTGCCATTTGGCTAACATTTGAATAAAACATGTGCGAGCTTTGTCAAATTAACGTGAGAGCCAAAGACCAGAATTGTACTGAAACGCTGGTGAGAACAAAGGTAGCGGCGAAATGCTGCATGACTGGCGGCAGAAAAACTAGGTACTTGACGCATCTGCTTCTCAATGCGTCACAGCCAGTGCACCAAGCCGAAGCCAACGCACGCCCCGAGCAGGCTATGACGGTGCGTAGGTTTCACCTCGGACAGATATAAACAGCAGCAATACAAGGCAGGTGTCCGGCCAAGAGTGGATCCTGACAGCTGTTTCTCTTAATCTGCGCGATCATCGACAGTGCTGTCAAAACACGCCGCGACCATCGAGGAGATTGGCAAGACTGATTAACAAACAGACACACCAGTGGGCCAGCTATCGTTGCGCAACATTGGTCAGGCTCAGTTCCAGATCAGAACCAGTTTGAGTGCAGTGAGAAAACTCTCCGTGCCGGCGGTACACGCCGGCTGAACACGGGAGAAAAGCTTGACACGACGCTTCCGACGAGATCAATTACGCCGCTTGAGCCCAGACATAACAGCCCATAATGGCACTTCTGGCCTCATGGGCCGCTGATCTGGCACATGCATTAGCGCGGGCGCTACTTCGCCGCCAGCGTCATCACAGCGACGGGCACCGCAACCGCGGCGTTTCCACCAGGTGCGCCACTTTCGCCCCGGCGCCGCTCCCGGCGCGCCGACCCGGCCATAAACACGCCGGCGAGCCGGCCGATAATGTCACAGAGCGCGGCCAGCCGGGGAGAAGGCACGACCGGAAGCGAGTCTGAGACGGGGCGGCCGCCCGTCCGGCCGGGAAAGTCGGCCGGACACCGCCGCCTCGACGTCCGCCGCCACAGGTGACGTCACAGGTCATCCCGCCGACGGCCCGGTCCCGGTCCCGGCCCGGGGTCGGGGGACGCTCCGAGACAGGGCGTGACCGGGCCCGCCACAATGGGGGCGCGCCAGGCGGCCGGCCGCGCGACAGCGTACGAGCACAAGTGAACCGTTCCAAAGGTCCTCGCCAGTTCGACATCTGGGCAGAGGGAGAAGGCCGCCGGTGTGGTGATAATCCGAGGCCTCAGTTCGTGTGTGTCATGGAGGAATGGCAACACTCCACCGGAGGCTTTCAGATTTCTCATGCAAGCCACTTGCGACTGCATTCGACCTCTTACGTCATTTCTTGCATCCCCGGAGGGAGCTCAAAACCAACAACTGCGCTACGCCTAAGCCTCGACCGAGCAGGCTACATACCGCTCCACGCTGTTTAAAACACCGATCGTGACCCCACCCCCGGCTGACGCTCGGTCGCGCGCCACCGCCGCCGGACAACCCACCCTCGATATTGCACGTCTCGGCGTTGAAGCGCATCAGCTTGATGGTCTTGTCGTTGCTGCCAGTAGCGATGAGGTCCCCCACGGGACTCCAGGCCAGGCAGTAGATGGAGCCCTTGTGGTGCTTGGTGCGCTTGAACAGCACGGTCGGCTGGTAGGTGACGTGGTCATCTCTGAAACAGGGGCGGCGCGGGGCGTGTTACTGGCCACACGTCTGGCGTGCGGGCGTAAGAATCGTCATCTGGGCTTTGTGTCACTCCTGCCTGGCACGCGGTGCGCGCTGAGTTCAGGGCTGTAACGAAAATCATGCGTAAGCTTATACCATCACAGCTTACCCGGACGCACGCCAACACGACAGCAACGCCATACGAAATAACACGTTGTTGATAATAAATTAATACATAAATAACACGAAATAACACGCGGCAATGCCATACGAAATAACACGGCGAACGTACGCCATATCTACATCCACTGGATTATCCACAACGGACTTACAATAATAAACTACCGTATCAAACTGACGGCGAGTGCTAACGCCAATGTCAGCCGTGACCCGTGGAGCCCTCACCCCCAGCCGTGACCCGTGGAGCCCTCACCCCCAGCCGTGGTCCGTGGAGCCCTCACCCCCCAGCCGTGACCCTGCAGCCGCAGCCCAGCAGCAGCGCGGCTCGACGGCGGATTAGAGCCGCGTGCACGGGGGGCGGAGGCCTGCACGGGCGATCGCATGCTAAACGGAGCGCCAACGCCCACCGCACGCCCGTTATCACGGCCGACATCGCGGCACTCGCCCGTCGCCGGCGGCCCCCAGCAGCTCATCCGGCTCCGAAGCAGGCGCGAACTGCGCCGTAACGGGCGACGGCCAGGCGTCGGCGGCCGGCGCGGCGCGGCGGCGGCCCCCACGCGCCAGGCGCCGTCACCGCTGCGCCACGGGTGTCGAAGAGCAGCGCCCGACCCCGCAGCGCGCGTCATACCCGGCGGAGGCGACGCCCCGGAGATGGGGCGGACTGGGATCCGAGCATGACCTCACGGCCGCGTCTGCCCCCGCCCGCTCGGGTCGCCGTGGCCGACTGCAGGCGTCGTCAGCCGCACAGGAGGGGGGCTAGCGGGCACGGCGGGGGAGGGGGGGGGGGGCTAGCTGGCTGACTACATCCTTCAGCTGATGCACTTGCCGACGGAGAATAGAGGTGGGTGGGGGAGAGGCCGAGGGGGCAGGAGGGGCGGGGGGGGGGGGGAGCGATACATATGGACGTTCGCTGATTGTGGAGACGTACGGAAATGCATGCATGTGAAAGCCGCCAATGTCGACCGGTAACTAATGATTTCGTAGGTTTCCAGCGTGAGCAATCTCCGTCCTTCCACGCCAGAGCACATCCATTCATCCTCGGACTCCCTCACATCCGGCCGCTGCGTCCCACCTGAGGTCGGTCAGCTTCGGGTAGGAGCAGATGCGCAGCGTCTTGGAGTTGGAGCCCACGGCGTACAGCTTGCCGTACGGGTGAAACTCGGCGCACCGGATGGCCTGCACGTCTTCCAGTGACGTCACTGGGATAAAGCGGGGCCGGCCGCCGCCGCCGCTCTCCGTCTGCGGGCAGAAGGACCCAGGTGAGACCGAGCGCCAGCGGGTCAGGTCACGCCAGGTCACGCCAGGTCACGCTAGGGGGAACATGACGCACACGGATCATTGTTTGCTGTTTGCTGTTGTTGCCTGTTGTTTTGCTCCTCGCTTGGTGACATGTTTGGTGCACGCTGGTCATTTTTTCGCAAAACATCGTCGGAAAAAGACGCTGAAAGAAAGCTTTCAATACAAACTTTGACGATAAGCTTGGTTACATCATAAATCAAGGAGTGACGCAACCATAACTCGCAGCAAGGGGCGACCGCGGGGAGCTGATCAGCGTGACAGAGAGCTTGTTTTGCGGCTGGTCAGCGGACAATGCGCACATCAGCGGCCTGCCAAACAATGCCCGGTTTGCCGCACGACCAATGCAGAGCCAAGCGACAGCTGAATCAAGCCAAGCCGGCCCGTCCGAAGACAGCTGAATCAAGCCGAGCCGGTCCGTCCGAAGACAGCTGAATCAAGCCGAGCCGGTCCGTCCGACGACAGCTGAATCAAGCCGAGCCCGTCCGTCCGACGACAGCTGAATCAAGCCGACCCGGTCCGTCCGACGACAGCTGAATCAAGCCGAGCCCGTCCGTCCGACGACAGCTGAATCAAGCCGACCCGGTCCGTCCGCCGACAGCTGAATCAAGCCGACCCGGTCCGTCCGACGACAGCTGAATCGAGCCAACCCAATCCGTCCGACGACAGCTGAATCAAGCCGAGCCCGTCAGTCGGACGACAGCTGAACCAAGCCGAGCCCGTCCGTCCGACGACAGCTGAATCAAGCCGAGCAGGTCCGTCCGACGACAGCTGAATCAAGCCGATCTCGTCCGTCCGACGACAGCGTTACGTCGGCAAGCACGCGGGACCTCCAGAACGCGAGGCCACGGGACACGCCGCCGGTTCAGCTTTCAGTTCTACGTCGCACGCCCAGACGTAATGACAACACACACCGAGACGCAAGCCGACATTCTTTCCACTTTCCCAGGGCGTTCAAATCATAGGCCGCCGTCACCCACCCGGCCTCCGAGTCATCTGGCTCGCTTCATCAGGCGCGCCTCCGCCGGGCTCGCCGCTAACGACCGACGTTTCTCTCGGCGGTATTGGTACCGAACTCGGGTGTCCAGCCGGGCCTGACACCAACCCACAGCGAGCTCATGACGGCCTGGCAGCCCTCTGTTCTGGGGCGCCGAGGGCAGGTGCGCCGAGGGCAGGGGCGCCGATGGCAGGGGCGCCGAGGACAGGGAGCGCCGAGGGCAGGGGCGCCGAGGACAGGGAGCGCCGAGGGCAGGGGCGCCGAGGACAGGGGCGCCGAGGACAGGGAGCGTCGAGGGCAGGTGCGGCGCTGAGGGCAGGTGCGCCGAGGGCAGGAGCGCCGAGGACAAGGGGGGGGGGGCGCCGAGGGTGGGTGCGCCGAGGGCAGGGGGCGCCGAGGGCAGGGGGGCACTTTGCGACAGTCCTCCGAGGCCGGTAGGCCACAGCTTTCTAATCGGAATTCACTACACTTGAATCCACTCCACTTATCCGCTCGAAGCTACCCACGCAGACAGTGAGCTGTGTTGAATGCCAAATGTCGGGCTATAAACGCACTCGCCATACATGTGGTCAGCGCGTTGAGCCCAGCACGCCTCTCGCTTTAGAAACAGCATCTCCAAAGCCAAGCGTAGTGCGCTCCCGACAGAGATAGGGCACTCCGCCTCCGCCCGGTGACCGCGGCCTGGGCGGGTGACCCGGCAGCGGCCGGACGTCGGCGGGGCGTCCGGCAGCGTCCACTGACCGCACGCGCTGAGGCGTGGCTAACGTACTGAGAATGTGGGCCAGTGGGGGCCGAGCCGGCCTGGGCGGCCGCCGCCGCTCATGCATACACTCGGCCCCGCCCCCGGGAAGCCACCGGCCGGCGCCGTGGCGGGCGGGACGGCCAGTAAACGTCACGGGAGAGACCCAAGCCAACTGTGTGGCGGGAGGGGGTGGTGGCAGACGAGGCGTGAAGAAGAGGGGTGGGGGTGGACAAAGCTGCGCGGCAGCATTGGTGCAGGTGTCCACAAACTGGTCAGAGAAGCATCTGAAAGTGCCAGCGAAATTAAATGCGTCACGTTGCTATTACGCAACAACCATTGCCCTCCCACGATCCAAAATCCCAAGTGCTAAAAACACGTCTTTCGGAGCTATCCCCAAATCTGTTTTTTTGCAAACGCAAATGCAAACGCAGTTTGAACTGCATGGGCTGGGAAACACGGCGCTGTGCAAACACCCCAAAGAAAACAACCAGCCTGCGCCTTCTAACGGCTGAAAAGACGAAACGAGGACCATGGAGGGAAGGCGCCAAGTGCCGTAGACTTAATAAGGCGGGAGCCAGGCTGAGCCGCAGCTCGCCTCCCATCGACGACGGCTGTGAATGGTTCCAAACTCCACGCTGCCGTGACTCCGGACCGCGGCCCGTCCGGGGCGGCCCATCAGAGTCGGCGCGAGACACTTCCGTGCGACAGGGGAGCGCGAGCCTGTGACATGTGTCGCCACAGCCGCCGCCCGACAGTGGAGACGCGTGGGAACGTCCACTCCGCGTCACCGGTGAAAGGCGAATGACTGATGATGGCGATCGCCAGCAGACCCAGCGCGTGCATGGCGGCGGTGAAAGGCGAGTGCGGCCGCCGGAGAGCAGCCAGCGGCCGGGGGTGACCAATGGCGGTCATCCCGCCCATGTGTTTGTGAGACGGGAAAGCGCGCCGCCGCCAGCCGGGCCCGTTTCGCCACTAATCACTTCCCGAGTTCTCTGCATTCTCGGGAGACCCTGTCTAAGGCAATACAGCCGTAAAACCATGTGGTTATACGCTGGGCCACATGCCCTGGAAAGCACAGATGGCGGCGGCTTTTGCGGGGCGGTTTGAATAGTGAGGCCGTTTCATATCCAATTAAGCCTTGGTGGGAGTCGGACAAGTACATTATCTCAACACGCATACTCCGATTCCGAAATCAGCGTTCACCCTAACCTCACCTGCGTCGGCATTGGAACGCCTTGCCTCACGCCAGTATTCCCCACGGGACCGTGACGCCGTTCAGAGAGGGGCACGGTCCCGTGGCCGCGCTGGACCAGCGCAGCTCGGCTGACGGCAGTGTGAGGCGGGCAGGGCACCCCTGACCAACATGCGGCGGCGGCCCGCGCCGGCCGTCCGACACCGTCCGGCGCCAGGCGAGCGGCCGCCGCGTCACGTCACGTGACGCTGTGACGCAGCACCGGCCGGGCGTGACGGCGCAGGTACGGCGGCCCAGGTGGCGGCCGTGTCACGATGACAGGCAGCCCCCGGCGGAGACGGCGGGAGGCTGAACCCAGGTCAGGGGCGACAGTACGCCAGCTGGCGGCTTGCAGCGGGGGCTGACCCGCATGGGGGAGGGGGAGGGCGTAATCCCGCGGCCGAAGGGAGAGGGGAGAGAGAGCGAGAGAGAGAGGATGAGAGAAGAGAGAGAGAGAGCGAGGAGAGAGAGAGAGAGAGAGAGAGAGAGAGAGAGAGGAGAGAGAGAGAGAGAGAGAGAGAGGAGAGAGAGATAGAGAGAGAAGAGAGAGAGAGAGAGAGGAGTAGAGAGATAGAGAGAGAGAGAGAGAGAGAGAGAGGAGAGAGAGGAGAGAGAGGAGAGAGAGATAGAGATAGAGAGAGTAGAAAGAGAGAGGAGGAGAGAGGAGAGAGAGAGAGAGAGATAGAGAAGAGAGATGAGAGAGAGAGAGAGGAGAAGAGAGAGAGAGAGAGAGAGAGAGAGAGAGAGAGAGAGAGAGAGAGAGAGGAGAGATAGAGAGAGAGAGTGAGAGAGCGAGATGATGAGAGAGATAGACGAGAGAGAGAGAGAGAGAGAGAGAGAGAGAGATGAGAGATGAGGAGAGAGGAGAGAGAGAGAAAAAAAAAAACACCGGTCAGCATGTACGGCTTCTCGTAAGGTCCGGCATGGGCTGCTCGACGAAATTAGTGCACGGGAAGTGCACGTGCTCGCGGGCGGTGCAACATAGGTGAATGAACGGGCCGGAACAGGCCGACTACCACTTAAAGTCGGACAGGGTTGTCTGACCGGGATTGCCCGAGAGCAGATGAGATGGAGCACACTGGTCGCTAATGCCCTCGGTCACCAAGAGGGTGAGGTACTCAGATCACCTAGACTGCGCACGTCTGGCGGCGACCACTTCGGCCAGCAGTGCCCGCCAACAGCCACATCGAGTCAAGAGTGTCCCGTACCGGCAACGCCCAGCTGCGAAATGCGCGTCCAACAGCGGCTTCAACAGTGGCTTCAGACGGCTCAACCATTCCGAACGCTGCTGACGCTGCAGACCCCCCATTGAACATGTCACGTGACCCTGTGCAGTTCGACCTCACAGTCACCACGTGACCGGAAAAATAAACAGCCAGCCTGGCGAACGCTTCTCCCATACGACCGATGGATTCGGCCGCGATAACCACCGACTTAGGTCAGCTGGCATGAGCGCGGCCCATGCAGACCTGAACTGTGCCTCGTGCACCGATAAAAACACAAACCGTTGCTAACGGTCCTGCTCGCCCGGCAGCCCACGGAAAGCGCATTCCAGTTCCCGGCAGGTGTCCCGGCCGGAGTGAGATGAATGGTCAGATAAAAACGTCACGGACACGCCGAAAAACGCACAATCACGCCACAAACAACCCGCAACGCCTGCGCGTGCGTGCGGCGCCCGAACGGCGCCATCATGAGCGCACGTGAACACGCGAGCCACGACTACGCAGAGGAATATTCTGACCGAGAACCGAGGAACCGAGGAATATTACTGACCGAGAACAATGGGCACAGTAAGACTGAACGTATCCCAAGTCCAATCTGTGGAAATTTGGGATCGAAACGCGAAAAGTACGCATCGTAACGCACACAACTGATCCTCGACTTTAGAACAATTATCATATTTTGAAGCATGTCAAGGGAAAAAACGCGGTGCGCAGGAGCCGCAAACTCGACACATGTGCGTGCCCTCACCG